TGGTGGTGGTGGTAGTAGTGGTGAACCCTCCTCTCAAACTTGGATGAAAGTAAGTGAACAAGCAGTAGAACAACACTCTCACTTGGGCTCCACCTCTGATTTTAATTTTACAAGCTAAAGGCCATTTACTCTCCAAGTGCTTTTGTTGTGATTTTCTAAGTTTAGTTAATGGCTTTTTATTTTTTGGGTTTTCAAAGCATATATTTGATTTTTTATTCACTTTTGGTCATTGCAATCAGATACATAGCGCATCATTAGCTTTGAAATAAATTGTTTAATTGTTTGGGTCAGGTGAAGTTTGTGGTGAATTTAATTTGCAAGGATTAAATTAAATTTTTCTTTATAAAGCCTTGTCTTTTATTGCCAAAAAAAAGGTCAATCTTTGTTAGTGCTTTTAGAAAGATAAAGGTTTTGTTTAGTTTGAATTTAAAAAATTATTTTTTGAAACTTTTAAAAGAAATAAAAATTAAATTGATAAAATAAACACTAAAAAAATGTTTTTTTTTTTGTTTTTTGTTTTTTAAGATGTTTATATTTTTTTCTAAGACATGTAGTGCCATTATGTAATATTCTGCACATTACTTATAAGCTATTGGAGATGCCTTTGGAAAAATGGATTTCTCCTTGAATCGTTCCTGCCATTATAGAGCTTTTTCTTGCTCAAGATACAATGACATCTGATATATCATCACTAGGAAGGATTTTATTTTTTCTAGTAATTTGTAGAGATTAAGTGATGAAATTGGGATTTGGTTAGGGTTCTTATTTCAATTACATTATCGATTGATGATACTGAATGTTTATTAAAAAGGGTATTGAAATCTTTTGAGATGATTTTGTTATTTTTTTCCTAATAATAATAATAATAATAATAATAATAATAATTCGATGCGTTGCTCAAAATGTTAGAAATTGAGAGTGTAATGAAGTACAATTATGGTGTAAATAGAATCACCAGCTTCTATTTCCACACATAAACAGTTGACACTAATAGATTTTTTAAAAAAGATAATTACAATTTTACATCTTAATCAAATTGACTTTCAAATAAAATCCTAAATTATAATTTCTCATTACACACCTTCATACATCACTAGTCATTACTACCACCAACCATCGCCACCGTTGTAAACTATTATCGCCATGAACCTCCCACCAACATGAAACCCCACCGTTGCAAACCCCTTCATTTGCAGCCATCTTCCCTTCCTCCAAAAAATATTGCAAAACCCTTGACTCGAACCTGATTTCGTTATGATCCCTGTATTGTCATAAACATCCTTCTAGAAAATCCTCACCATCACAAATCCACCTTGCCGATTATACACTTTGTATCATGCGATCTAGAAGAAGGTAAGACTAGGTGGCTATGAAAGGTAGGGGGGGGGTTTGGGTATTTTTTTATATAAATACTTGTGTATTGAACAAACAAACAAAAACACGCGAATTTAAAAATGTGTTCGCTGAGGGAATATGTGCACTGATTCTTTTTCTTACTTCACATCATATCGACATTTTAATTGTTCAAATATCAGCTGTCAAACAAAAATGAATTGTTCAAATAACAAGTACAAAATGTATTTTCATTCAATAATTAATATCTACATAATGAATTTTTATTCAATAACTAAAAAAGAAAAGGTAAATTACATTAACCTCTTACAAGGGTTGTAGAAAATATTCACAATTTTAGTATAATTATGTGAACTCTCTTTTAGTAAGTGTAGGAAAAATAAGAAATAATACACAGCCGAAATAAACGGATTTGGGCATACCTTTTACACTCAAATTGAATCCATGAATCATGTGGGTGAGTCACGTGCCTCCATTAATGTCTTCGAATAGTTTCCAACAGTGGAGTAGAACTACTAGAGAACTACCCATATTTTCTCTACCCATACTATTTACAATACAAAGGCATGGTTATGTGTTTTCATGGAAAAAGAGAAAAGAGAGAGACAAGAGCAAGAGACTAGTAGATTACCCATATCGTTAAAATTCAGCTCTCCCAAATATAATACGTATATTATATGAGAGAGTTATAACCACCCACAATTCTATCTCCTTAAGAGATGAGATAATGAGTTATACACTCTTATCCCAGGATAAATTAATCCAAGTTCACTTTGACTGGGTCTCTCTTTATGGGTCTTGGGTCATGCCACAATGGGCGACCCAATCTGGTATTAGTTCTAAACTCGACCCAATTTCCAACATCTCTCACTCGAACATGCACTAGCATGACACCGCACTTTCTTTATCTCAATCTATCCATCAAACGTGATCATACTAGCCAATGGACTGTGCGACCACTGAGAACACTTGCATGTGGGAGCTCTACAATAGAAACTCAAAAAGAGCCTACATAGGGACATCAACTCGAAAATAAAAATGCTATCGCATATATCGCAGACCTATCTAATTACACCTCCAAAAAAACATCTCTAATCTCTTAAAAGAGCATGTTTGACCCTCTTAATTTTTGCAATATATTCACACTCAATATGCCTCACATACAAAGCGTTGTGAGTTGCCGACAGTGAATATACAACAATTGTGTAATACTAGATGATCTTCCCTTCGCCCTTATGCCATTTAGTTTAGGATTGACTGCTTTCCCAGTGATTTCCAATAGCCTATAAAATATTTAGAGATAGGATGAAGTTGAAAGACGATCCAACTACTAAGACAGATGAAAACCACAAAGGGTGGAATGTTCAGGAATTGTTTAGTCCATTAAACCAGAGAACACTCCAAGCCTTTACATAACCTTCTGTTTTAGAAGAAAATGGCAAAAATCTCCTGCACTATTCAGACACTAATAAAAACAATTCTTTTGAAGAAAAAAATGGACTACAACCATTATTTTTAGCACTTTTTTTTTTTCATTTCCCTTCCTCAGATGACAGAAAAGGCCTCTAAATGAATAAAACACTAAATCACCAATTCAAAGGTAAAAGAACAAAGACGGGACAAAGGGTTAAAAGAATCGTATGCAAACATATCTAGTATATGAAACACATTTGTTTACACTAAACCCTACGAGTAAGGACCATTAATACAGCATATTAGGTCCATGTGTTCATTGAAATTCATGTACACATTACGTTCTCCTTAGTTGAGAATTAGATGAAGGATCTCCTTGAAGATGATCAATCCATGCTTGATTATCCTTAGATCATGTAATTTTCTTCACGAATAAAGTAATTCTCTCCCCAGATCTGATTTGGGATGCATAGATATGAAAATTGTATGAGTTGGAAGTTGATAGCAATGAATGCAAATAGGCCTAATTGTAACAAGGAAATGGAGTTTCAATCAACCAAAACCATCCATATATTAGTCATGTATTTGGAATTCAAGAAATTATGAAAATTGTTTGAGTTGGAAGTTTGAGAGCAATCCATGCAAATAGGCCTAACTGTAACATGGAAATGGAGTTTCCACAAACCAAAACCATCCATGTATTTTTTCCACACTTAATCATGTATTTGGAATTCAAGAAATCAACTTTTAAAGCAAAGAATTCAGCAATTTGTAATTTAATTTTTTTTTAATTATAAATTATCAAACCAAAATCCCACCTTATGTGCCTTAGTAATGAGTTACCCAGGGATCAATTTGACTCCTTTTTCGGACCATTTTCACCAAATAAGCACAACACAGAAAATTTCCTTTAAATATGTTCCAAATTATTTTGTACCATTATTTCAAGCCAAATAAACTCAAATTGAATTATTTGCCAATTTTGAATTATCTATTTTTTATCATCACACATGAGCCTTGCTTTGATGAAGCTCGCGCCTTAGCTTGTGCCTTGCACCTAGGCCCTAGGGGACTTTGGGTCTTCAATGTGCCTGTTGCCTTTAATAACATTGATTAGCCTCAATCCATATACGAGAAATTCATATTCTTGTTGAGTCACATTAAACCCGCCACCAGAGGTTAACTAATTGCATGAGTTTCATGACATGATCACAGATGAGTTACCTCCCATGAGAGGCATTCAGCATGCTGCCAACGTAGTCCTAGGATCAAAATTACCTAATCTGCCCCATTATTGGTTGAACCCCAAGGAGGGTGCTAATATGAATAGGGTAGAAGGACTTCTATGGAATGGTTACATTAGCCCCTAAAATGCCCCAACTTTTTAATTACTCGGAAACGCTATCAAAGCCTGTAATTTAGGTCCATCTTTTTGTTTATATCTATTACTCTTGAGTAATAGAAACATAATAACACTAGTTCTCTCTCTCAATGATTGCAACAACAATAATATATGCCAAGCTTCCGTTACGGAGCTACAAATAAATAATTACAAACATTAATGTACAAAATTCATTTCTTTCATTTCTACTATAAAATTACACATAAAAAAAAAAAATACCTGAACTTCTCAACTCTCCAACCAATCAACCCGAATTCTCTTCCTGTAAAAGAAATGAAACAAGGGATGGACACAATTGCCTAGTAGGAATCTCATAGTTCTACAACAATAACTATCACATAGATAGAAATGATCATGCATGTAGGGTGATACCATATAGTAGGGTGACATTTTGTAAGATCAAAATATTATTCGTAGAGTATCTATATCTCAAAATGTATTTGAACATTTAAGGAAAACTTTCAGCTACAAAATTTTCTCTTATTGTCAAAAAAACCATAAACCCTTTTTGAAAACAAATATGTTTAAGGAACAACGTCACTTTAAATTTATTCCAAAATATTCCACCTTTAATTACCATTTACCTTCTTATTATTCACAATTATTATAACTCCATAACCTCAAAGTTTAAATTCCCTTAGTACTGCAAAAATAATCCCCATACACTCCATTCTCACTTGTCTATCCATTATTGCTATAACTCCATAATGTAGAAGTCCAAATCTCCTTTTTATTCAATAACAATTCTCCTCACTCAACTCCTACTTGTCTAACAACTACATCACATCCACATTTGAATTATCAATTATAATTCAACATAACACAAGAATAATAAACTCATTTAATTCAATTTCTCAATTAATTAGAAAAACAAAACTTTTAATCTTTCCTTATAGATACAAACAACCCGGTGAGTTCATTATCACCAACCCCTTATCCAATTACCATTTCATTATTCATTCTTTTCAAATAATTTTCATATGTATTTCCCCTCCGTACCAAAGTACACATCAAATTGTAATTTCATAAGTTCATCACAATTTACACATATTATCACCGACTTAACACATTTCTCAGCACATTCCACCTTTTGCCGACTTGATACGGCAGGATAGTGAGCACCCAACTCATAACACCTTCCACCTTTTGTGGGCTATTATATGGCGAGAAGTGAACTCCCAAAAACTATTTTCAACTTTAAAAACCATCCCCACATTTGCCGACTATTATACAACAGGAAGTGGGCACCCAAAAACATTTTCAAAACCATCCGTTTTTCCACTTTTGCTGGCTATTATACGATAGGTTTGTGTGGATACCAAAAAATCATTTTTCCACTTTTGCCGGCTATTATACGGCAGGACGTATGGACACCCAAAAATCATTTTTCCCACATTCGTCCAACGATAAGCCTTGACAGGGCATTTGGGCACCTTTAATTCAAAACCACCTCCACATTTGCTAGTTATTATACGGCGGGACATGGGCCCCCAAAAACCTTTTACAACTCCTCGCGCAGGTACCAACACAACACCACCCAACACAACTTAACTCAACTCAACACAACCCAACACAACTCTACTCCACGCAATTCAACACAACCAACTCAACACAACTCAACACAAACAACGCAATTCAACATAATTCGAGGCAAGTTCAACATAGCTCAATGCAATTCAACATATTTCAATGCAACATCTTAAACCTCAACTTCATCATTTCATCACAAAATTCATATCATCCATACCATTAACAATTTCTTCCCACAAAACTTTGTTTCATATTATCACATAATTTAAAATATCAACAATAAGGGTTCAATCGCAACTTTTACATAAATTTCCAAACACTTCCAAAATTTAATTAAGCTTGTATATGTTCAATTTAACACCTCAATTTCATGATACTACTTTCAATTTAAGCAAAACCATCATCTATCTTCGTGAACCAAACTAGGGTTTTAAGAGAAATTAAAACTTTTCACCCAAACACATTTTATTCTAATTCTTCTATTAATTATACACCCAATTTCATAAACCCATAATCATAACCTAAAATTTAAACCCCAACATTTCAAACCCTGAACCCCCAATCTCCCGATTTATCACAATATGCTTAAAAATATAAATTTTGTATTTATATAAAGAAAATACCACAAATCTATCAATAAATGAGATTATTGAAGGAGAACTAGAAACCTCTACCTCAAAGAGAAAGCAAAGAAGCTAGATCAAGAGCATACTTTCAAAAATCCAAAATACAATCTATTGAAAAGTAAGATCTTCAAGCCTTCTACACTTTTTGGTAAGAGATCTTAGCCAAAACACTGGGGAATGGAAGGTATTTGGGTAAAAAATCTAGGTTTTTTTGAACCTAGGATGAGGGGAAGAAAGAAAGAGAAGGAAAGTGGAGAGAAAGATCTAGAAAATCACTTTTTAAGTTGCTGAATTCGCGCAATCCGCTCGAGCGCCATCCAAATCGAAGCCCCGAAAACAAGATTTCCAATGGTTCTAGCCTCAAACCCAAATTCAAAGTGTGGAAAAAGAAAAGGGCAAAAGAGTGATGGATATTTGTAGGAAAATTACCCAAGTCAAAGTTTTTAGTCCGATCTTACTTTGCCATCATGTTATCACTTCTATGAATGTCCCAAAATAAAATAAGGAGGCTCCAAATACAATAATAAAAGGTCAAAAACAATCCCATTAGTCTGAAAAATTCAAACTCAACCGGGCAGGCAGCTTGAGCATCCAATCTTGCGCTTGAGAGAACAGACCAACAGCGCCGATCGCTCGAGCAACCACTCCTGCACTCGAGCGAAAATTCACAACTCTCAGAATTATGGACAGATTGAAAAAGTACTGGGAACCTCACAAGGCCGCTCGAGCGTCAACTCTTGCGCTCGAGAGGATTGAAAAATTCTGGGGTGTTACAGCCCCTGTTCAATCCCAGCCCATTTAATCCCTAAGATGAATTGTTCTTGGAGGATGCGTGTATATCAACAAGATTACAGTTGGGTTTAGGTTTCACATCCCAATACTTGATGACCTGTTGGACCTGTTCATGCACTCCAATAAAAAAATTAAAAATGCATTACAATTCCATAGATATTGATAATTGATCAAGTCCATAATAAAAAATTCACAAAACATCAAGGAATATATCACAAATTCCCAATAGAATAAAATGGAGGATGCTCAATAAAACATGGATATGTTATGCAATATACCATAATTATACTATGTGAAAATACAAAACTGATATACAAATGGTTACACCGTTTCACAAAAAAGCAAGGTAGGATCAGCTCATTAAAAAATCAAACTGTTTGACATGCAAAACGACAGAAGTTAGAAGGCAAGTATATGAGGTCTAGAGTACTAAAACAAAAATGGTTTAGAGTACTCACAAGAAAGATTCTCTGGTTCATTATCAAGTTTCCTTGTGTTTAGAGTAGTACTGCTTGAGGCAGCTTTGTTTGATGCAGCATTAGCTACAAAATACAACAAACAACATTATCAGTGTTCCCAACTCAGAAGAGCAAACTAATGTCAAATGTAAAAATAATTGTACGACATAAACAAGACAACATATGTAAGCTGATTCTCCTTTGCAATGGATAGCAATCAAGCCAAAATATGATCTTCAAATCCAAGTGATTGAAATAATGTTCAAGCTTAGAAAATAACTGTGACAGTTAAATCCACAAAAAATATATAACCTAAATTTGGCTAGTATAAATCCCAATAAAAATGTAGAAAGAGAGAAAAAATTCTAAAAGAAATCATCTACCATCTAAAAGAAAATAAACCGACACATGTCAATCCAAATGCCTCCAATCAATATAGTAACCGGGTGACAACGACAATCTGAAAAAAGGCCCAATAGTGATTTCATCCCAACATAAACATATTCAGTATCATGCAATTAATACTTTGGTGGATGGATTAAAAAAAATCCCATAACACCTAACTGCCACAGCCAGCTCATTTCCTAATATACATGAGGATGCATAGTCTACACTATATTTAATATAGAAAAATGATTTGAAAATAGAATTTTTGAACAAAAAACACAGAATAATGTGTCAATGGCAACATTGAAATAATAAGCCACTTTTATGAGGTTTTTGGATTGAAATGAATGGATATTAATGTTACACATCATTTTGTATAAATTTTATCTATTTGTATATTAATAACAAGTGATGAATTCAAAGTTGTTTAGTAAGAAAATAAATAACAAACCCAAATATGCTAAAAAAAATTTATAACAAAATTTAAATTTGAAACAAAAAATATACAAACCAAGGCTTAAACAAAAAAACACGAACCAAACTAAGTCCAAAAATTTTCACAAAATTAGCAAACAAACCTCACACTTTCAATCCCAACAAGACTAGAATAGAACCAAAAAAAAAAAATATTGCCTGAAATTCACAAAAAGCACTAAAAGGTTCTGCTCTATGTGGTCTCGATAGACAGAAACTAGTTTGGCTACACTTTTCTTAGAGAAAATTGATATTTAGACATCTCCAACCCTTCCCCAAATCTTGACTCAAACCTAAATTTAAGTATGTAAAACCACTAAATTCCCTCTACTCCTTTACTCAAACACCAAATTAAATTTTACTTAACTTTTTACTCAAACCAAACACCCATTTTGTTGACTCAAATTTCTATCCAATCAAAATTTCACATAGGTGCTTCTATGCAATCTTTTCAAATTCTCATTTGCAACCAACTTTTGAGCATCTCCAACCCCCCTTCACAAAAAAAATTCATCGAATTTGAATCCAAATTTTAGTAAAAAACATGATTTGATATGAAATACACCAATCCTTTCATCAATTTTCTATCAAAATCTTTTCAAAAAAAATCCCCTATTATCCTAAATTTCCCTCTTCATTAAATTTGGTGAAAACAAAAATCATCTCCAACGCTTCATTTTTTAAATCAAATTCAATTTGATGAAGAATTATCCTTCACCTTTTCTTAAGTGTTCAAAATTCATTAGCAATCCTTTCATCAAATGTTCATCAAATCAAGAGAAAGTCATTTTTTCATCAAATTGAGAACCCATCAAATTTGATGAAAAGAAGAAAATATTTTGATGAAATGATTGGAGTAGTTTATATTAAATCAAGCTTTTCACTTAAATATGGAATCAAATTAGATGAAAATTTTGGTGAAGGGTTGGAGATGCTTAATTTGATTAAAAAATAAATAAAATTGACTAAGACCAAAGATTGGAGATGCTCACTCAAAACTTGACACTAAACGACTTCACTCAAATTTGAGTTTATATCAAGTGAAGCTTTGAGTAAAAGTATATATAAGGGCATCTCCAACCCTTACCCAAATCTTAACTCAAACTTAAATTTAACCAAAAAAGCACTAAAATCCCCTCCACCCCTTCACTCAAACCTATACCAAAACCAAATTGAGTTTTACTCAAATTTTGACTCAAATTACTGAAATTCCCATCCAATCAAAACTTAAACACGTAGGTACTTGTACCCAAAATTTTCAAATTCCCCTTTACTCCCAACTCCTAGCATCCACTCAAAACATAACCCTTAGCAATTTCACTCAAATTTGAGTTTATCATTGGAGTGTTTCATATCACATGAATCTTTTTACTCAAACGTGTACTAAATTTGAGTATTAAAGTATAAAGTAAGGGTTGGATATGACGTAAGGCTTGGAAAAAAAAAAACCTTACCAGGTCAATCACCCCTAAATTTTATGAATTTCTGAAAAAATAATCTCGGGAAACAAACAGAAAGGAAAGGAAGAGATTTTTGTAAAATCTTTTTTGACAATTTCGATCTCGGCACCGACGCGACGAGCGAACGTTGACGGTCTTTTCATCCTTACGGGTGGCGGTAGTGGAGGCCTTCTTGCAGATCACCACTGGTTCCCAATCCTGAGAGATGTGTCCAAATCTTGACATATTATTAGGGTTATCTGATTCTCTTTTCTGCTACTACTATTTCTATTCTACTGTTCTGTTCTTCGAGCTCTCTGAATTTAGGGTTAGGGTCAGGGTTTTTCCAGTTGAAGAAGATAGATATAGGATAGACTGATGCTGTTGACTGACCGCTACTTTATAGACACAAAAATTCATAAGAATATCTCTATTTATTTATTATTTATTAAATTTGTTCACTGATTTTGATAAAAAAAAAAAAAGAATTATTAAATATTTACGATTTTCTAACTTATTCTGAAAATCTTATTTCACTGACTAAGTGAAACAAGTTGATTGATATCAATTCCTTTATCTTTTAATAATTTTATCAAATTTAAGTGAAAATTAAGATAATTGATAATTTGATTAATGATTTGATTTATCTCTTATTTGATGAAATTTTTAGTAAAAATTTTATTTAATAAATAGATTGAATCTCATTCTCACTAAGGATTGAATATGCTAAACTATTTGTTTTTAAATAAATTTACAATTTAAATATTTATTGTTTTATTTTTAAAAATAAATATAATGAAATTATGAATTATCTATGCATTAAAACTTAAAACATAAATTGATTAATAAATTCACGGAGCCAAACTGCATCATCGAGTCTACTAAGAGAAATGGATATAAGCCACTTTCCATTTTTTTTTTTTTTTTGGGTTTAGACGTGATCAAATTTAAAAATTAAATTTTCAATGTCTTGCCATGCAGCCTTATAGAAAACATAAAATGATAAAATTATTAAACCAACACATTAGTTACATTAAATTTTTCACAATATGTGACGCGAATCATAGAAATGATTTTTTTAATAATTCGATATTTGACCCATTAGACCGCAACTAATTTAAGAATCAATTATTAAACTAATTTGATGAGTGCCATTCTTTATATTTTATACTCACATCAGGGTGTCTATAATATTTTTCTCTTATGATCTTAAGAGAAATGCGCATGTAATTTAATGGTAGAACATTTGTATTCCAAGAAGGGGTCGCATATTTGACCCTTGTTCAAACCATGCCATTCCTATTTTCTTTCCCCTATCCCCTTAGCCCAAACACACATGCCTATTTTTTGATGAACTAAGAAAATGAAAAAAAAAATATTATAATAAAAGATGATAAATAATAATAATGATCATTTTAATAAACTTCCTAACTTAAGCATGCCATTTGCACTTAAATTTTTTAGTATAAATTATTTAGAACACCTTGATTAGAATAATCTAACAAGATTTTGAAATTACATGCGAGATTTGAATAATATGTAGTTCAATGAAAAGCTAGAAAACAATCAGCCCAAAGTAGCTTTGTGGCTAGACCATGTACTATATATTAGAAGAGTAGGAGATTATAGATTTAACTTCCCCCTCCCCTTCCAATATAGCGATTCCGATTTTTGGCCCGTCACTTGTTGTGTTCCGAACTCGAATTGTATAGTTCTAAATAGTGATTCATATCTTATTTCCCTTGTCTCCCCTTTATTTTGGTTGTCGGGTTGTGGTTGTGTGTTTGAAACAGGTTGGTTGCATGTTTTTCCAAACTTGTGATGCCCAGATTTTGGTTCTTCCGCTCGAGCGGGCTTCACAAATTTTTCTCCTCCGCTCGAGTAGCCATTCTTGCGCTCAAGCAGGATTTGTCAACTCTCAACATTTTTGTAGTTCTGCAAATACTGGGAGAGTGCATTGGACACTCAAGCGTCCAGTCTCACGCTCGAGCAGGGTCCTTCATCTACAAAACTTCTAGAAGAGTGTATTCCATGCTCAAGCGACACTTTTCACGCTCGAGCGGAACTTTGTGTCTGATGCTCAAGCGTCACTTTCCATGCTCGAGCGAACTGCGTGTATAACAGTTTGTGAAGATGATGTCTTTGTTCACTTTTCATTCCCCTCTCTCTCTCTAAAACTTTTCAAAAACCTAAATTTTGAGTCTCTCTCTCCAAAACTCACATTCTCTCTTCGATTTTATCTAGATCCATTGATCTCTTCACCCTACTACCTTTGAGAAAAAGGTAGAGTGCTTCGAGATCTTCAATTTGATCTGAATAGAAGTGGGTTTCGGTGCTTTTTGAGTTTCACTCTTGCTTGGCTCGTCTTCTCTCTTTGAGGTAGGGATTTTCTACACTTTGTTATGGTTTTTAACTTAGTTGTTTATAAATGGTGTAACAATGGTGGGAATTGGGGGCAATGTGAACAAACCTTGGGTTTGGGTATAAAATGAAAAGAGGGATTTTTGGTAAATATGAAATAAAAGAGTATGGATGTGAAAATGAGATTATGTTGTGTCAAAATGGTTGATTTTGATGCTTGGGTTGATATTTGTAAAAAGGAGATTTTTGCCCTAAAATGACTATCGTAATTATTTTGTATAAATAATTGAAATTGGTGTGGTAAACATGAAAGTGAGCGAGTGTTGAAATAGATGGTGGAATTGAGTATGTAATGCTTCACATATTTGAAAATTTTGGATAAATTATATGTCTTGAGATTATATATCTGTTTAGCAATATATGTATCGGGCTATCGGTGAAGGATAGCTAGGATTGTTGTAAAAATTGCATGCGGATTAGGTGAATTGAAGCTAATCACCTGTTGGTTGTCATTGAATATGACTATGTTTATATACATTGTATATGTATGATTATTTGGGAGTGGAAAGGGGATGTACTCTATTGTTTGATTATGTGTTTAAATACATTGCATATATATGAATGATTTTTTTTTGAGGAGAAAGAGGATGGACTCCATTATAATTAAGTTGGCTGGAGTGTCCTGGGTGAAAGTCCCGAAATTATACATGGGTGCCGATCCTGACGGACGATATATCCATAAAATGACAATTTGAAATTATACATGGGTGCCGATCCTGCGGACGAAATATCTGTAAAATGGCAATTTGAAGTGTTTATACATTGATGATGTGATTATAGAACTATGAGTTGTACTCTCATTTGAGTTATTGAGTTATTGAGATATGATAAAATTGGCTCATGTGATGAAATAAATCGAATGGAAATGGATTGAGGATTGGATTTGGTATCTTATGACCATATAAAATGGGGATGTTTTACCACGACATTGTTACGCATATAGTACTTATACCTTTGTTAAATCTCATATATTGTGTTAGATTATTCCTATTGGGTTGTGGCTCACCCTATTTGGGAAAAACATTTTCAAGTAACGATAGTATGCTTCCACCAAGACAGTAGCATTGGAGGGACTTTTGGGAAGCAAGACCTTTTTTGTTTTGTTTTACTTTTGTATAGCCTAGGGATAAATATGTATGAGCTAGTCTCTTTTGTTGTAACCAAGTCAAGGCTTGGAAAGATGTAAGCTGCTAGGACATTTATTTCTGTTGAACTCTTGTATTCATTAACCTTATGTAATGAAAGGACTGTTTACTCTGATTTATGTGATTACTAGTATATGCTATGGGTTGCATTTATTGTGTATTTTTTGGAGGCGTTACAACTTGGTAGTAGAGCGTACCGGGTTTGAATACTTTGGGTACGTGGGATGTGGTTAGTACTATAATGGGTTTATCTCGCTTGTTAGAGACTTAAGTATGGATGATATGTGCTTATATGATGACATGCTTATGTGATTATATGGGTATGAGATTTAGTTTCTAAGATGTTGATTAGATCTACTGGTTTCTGGATGTCCTATTGGAAGAGCACTTGATCACTGCTGTTTCTAATTGAAACTCTTGCAACACCGCTGGACGATCGTTATATAGGAAAGAAATTCGAATGTGTTTACGTGATTATGTGCTTATGTGGAGTGAATTACCGTTGTCCATCATATTAGGACGCGAGTGAGTTAATTTCAGCACATTTGTAAATGTGCTAATCTCTTTGTTACCTTCATTAGGATGTCAGGACGTGGTCGTGGTGGTAGACGTGGTAGGCCTAGAAGGCACGAGATGCATATACCGGATGAAATTTCAGCACAGGAGGAGGGAATTGGTTAGGCCAACGTGGCCAAGCCAGTAAGTCAGCAAGCCATAGACGCCTTAGCCCGCGAAATGATCGGGGCATTGCGAGAATCTATGGACATTCTCATGGCTGAGAATCAAGTCCAAGCCCAAGTAGCTAAGGCAGTGCCTTCTTTTTTGAAGAGAGAGTTTTTCCGGTCGAATACGGATGAATTTTTGGGTGATCCCAAGGAGCCACTGAAGGCAGACGAGTGGCTAGAACAGATGGTAAAGACTTTTGAAATGCTCGGCATCAAAGATGGAGGTTTGAGAGTGACTTTGGCGTCCTTCCAGTTGAAGGGAGACGCGGGTCAGTGGTGGAAGTATACGAGGGGGCACATTGAAGAGACTTGGGAGGCCTTCGTCGACACCTTCCAGGAGAAGTTTTTGCCTCCCACTATTAGGGAGAAATTGAAAGACTAATTTTCCCAGCTCAAGCAGTTGAACACACCATTGGCCGATTTTGAGGCCAAATTCACTAGCCTCTCTAGGTTTGCACCTGAGTGGTGGAGATTGAGGAATGTCGTTGCTTGGAGTTTGAAAAGAGGCTGGGGACCGAGCTCATGTTTAGAGTAGCTGGATCCATGATTAGAGACTATGGGCGCCTTGTGGAGGCAGCGGCCCATCTCGAGACTAGCATGCAGGTCGAGGATGAGAGGATGAGGGGCTACAAGAGGAGTCAAGGGGGTACGAGGCAGAGGGATTCTAGCCCTCAGTAACCCTAGAGAGCTTAATCGAGGTCTACCTTTCCAATGTCGAGTTTGGGTTCTTTGAGAGGTGCTCAGGGAGATGTGACTTGTTTCAAGTGTGGTCAGTTGGGCCACAAGTCCCCAGCTTGCACGTGAAGAGAAGGAGGGCAGCGAGCAACTTTGTCTTCGGATCATTCTTAGGGTCAGAGTCAGGGTAGAGGACAACTGCCCACTTGCTATCAGTGTGGTTAGGCGGGGCACCTGAAGAGGTTTTTCCCACATCTGGGTGGCACATCTAATGCGTTTGGTTCGAGACAGACGCAGAGTCACCAGTCAGCATAGTCAGCACAGGCCTCGAGGGCCAATTAGGGAGCCTCTTCGGTTCAATCCGTGCAGCAGGCTTATGCTCCGAGGGGTGAACAGCTAGATCAAATGCTAACAGGGCATGTGTATATTGTTACC